CAGTCCTCTTTTCCCTCCCCAACTTCTCATATCCCACCCCAGCTCAGGGGCCCATCCAACACTGTGAAGCACTTTGAGACATCATCAAAGGTGTGTGGCACTTTATGAATGCAAATTGAATTTTTTGTAAACTAACAAACCATCATATGTTCCTTGCTTTGTTATTGCTTGAAAAACACATTAATCCCCCATCATTTAACTACACTTATGCATCCTATATAGATAATTCCAAGACAGTCTTTGTTCTTCTTAAACAGAGGAGAGCAAATTCTGTGTGGATAAAAAGAATAAGTGTTCAGGTCTAGACTCCATATCCAAAGGTTAAGGAGCAATGCACACTCTCCTTTTTTCTCCAGTTCCATTGAGAAACAATTACAGGGTCATTAATAGGTTTTGTTTAGTTTGCTAAGTCAGGAAGTCAATAATAAACAAGTTACAACAAATAACAGCGTTATTTAGGATCCTTTTGTTTACTTCTTTCTTTCTGTTGATTTATTTTGGAACGTATTCAACGAATGAATCAATTTGCCCATATTGTGCAGGACTGCTGCATAATTTGGAGATGCTGTGCTTCAGATGAGATGTTCAACTTCTTAAACCCTACCAAACTGTCCAATCCCTGCTTCCCGTCTTCTGCCCAACTTCATTGAGGTACTACTAGGTGGAGTACTAGCAGAAACCACTGAGACAAATAGTAGTTGAATTTATTCGTGAAGGGGCCAGGTCTGTATACTGTGCTTAAAGGAAACATTAATAAAACCTCATGAGAGTTGCTTCTTGGTGTCTCAATGTTACTCTTAAGGCTCCAAGATGATGCCCCATGTGAAGGGCACTATATAAATGCAAGTTGTTGTTAATGAGCTACAGGGACTATCTCTTTCCTGTTCTGAGTTGGCTAATTTCTGCCAGGGCAGTGGTAGGAGCACAGTAATTGTTTCAATTGCAGTACAATACAAAATAGAATACAAAAGTACATTTGTATAGCGCCTTTCACACCGGGAGGACGTCCCAAGGCGCAGTAGTATGAATATGGGGAAAGGACGGGGTCAGGTCAGATCTGTTCCCTTCCCCCAAAATAAGTTGTAACTTTTTTTAAAAAAGTTAAATCAGATAGTCTGTCAACATTCACTATCCAGGTTCACACTGGAAAATAACTGCATGGGTGAAATATTGCAGGAGCATATAATCATACCCCATGCGTCACTGTTTTTAGCATAAAAGGGGAGAAAGAAACAACTGCATTCAGGTGACGATGATAGTATTCAGTATCACAATATGAAAGCATGGTTAATGCAGCAACAATGTGCCTGTCAACATGCGTGCAGAACTATTTGGGCAGAAGTACGCCTTCAGACACATTCAGACACTCTCAGAGATGAACAACAACAACTACAAATTACATTTGTATAGCGCCTTTCACGTCAGGAGGACGTCTCAAGGCACTGGACAGTCAGGGATCCGCCTCCGAGGTGGAGGAGAGGTGGAGGGCGGGGCGGGTGGGGGTAGGAGGGTGACCAAAGACACCGATGTCTCCATGCTTGCTTCAATCAGCAGCAGCCAAGTCAAGATGCAAGTGAGTATGATCAGTGGGCACAGGAGCAAGCATCTTCCAATGAGCCTCTGATCAAAGCACAAAGTCTTCTACATAACGACTTGCTGAGTAATTTAAATGTTGATGAGAGAGCAGGGAATTAAAAGCTCTGGAAGCATGGATACCCATGGAGGAAGGATATCCCAGGACAAATGCTAGTGGATCCAGACAATGAGGGAGTTACATTCTCCTTTTTGCTCACATCATTTAAATGAAGACCTTCTGTGCACCATGAGAGGTATTTGTCTTACACGCTTGACAGCAGAGCAAAGCTTACAGCTCTGTTCCTTACAACTTGGAAGAAGACAAAGGTAAAATTGTCGGAAGAGTTATACACAATCTGTAGGAAGGGGGTCCCACAGTATAATTTGAAAAGTGTCCAAATTGACAGCTCCTCTCCTGTGGAATTGTTTGTTATAAAGGAAATATCTTTGGAATGTAAAGGAAAATGATTTGAAAAATAATGGAAGTTTATTCACGAGCAAGGTAATGTATTCAAAATAAATTATAAGGTTCTTTAAAGTGTAACAGATGTTTGATAGCAACAATCATTCACTGCATTCATAGCCCAGCTGCATCAAGCAAGTTAAATTGGTCTTTGCTCTTTTAAACCCTTAAGGCATGTATTGCATAATCCATCACCATAGGTATAATTTAATCCTAATACCAAGGTTCAATGTACATTTAAAATGCACCTCTGTACTAATACGGTACTGAAATTACACTTGCTATTAAACATCTTGAACTGTGGAGTGGTTCAGTTAAAGGAAATGATAATAACTGTGGCAAATAGATGTCCAGAATTTGAAAAGAAATAGAAACAGGTACAGGTACACTTTTCAGGTCATATTCATACAGGATTGGATTTTAAAACCCTCGGGCTGCAATCTTGAATGAAATTGGCCAAAATGCATTGTACTTACATGCCATAAAACAGTTTTCACTATTGCCGGCAATTTACCGCGTACCTTCATCTGGCAATAACGCTCAGTGAGAGGTGCCAGATTTTTGTGCAGCAACTCTTTGTGCTATTGCAATATAATGCCACAGGGTAGATATTTGACCAGTAGCAATAACTGTTGACCTATATAATAATGCTCTCAATGTTTGCGTTACTCCTGGTAGAATCTAGTCAACTTATATCAACTCTGTAGTCCAACAGTAGGTTTTTATTCATTCATTCTTTAGCTCTCTGATCAATTTTACACCAAAATTGTATTTCTGTTCTGCAGAAAATAGGATATTTTTTGTAAGAACATGTTTTATGGTACGTGGATCAAATTTCTTTACATTGTTCTTCTGGATCTGTTACTGTGAGACTTGTTTATCACCAAATTCTTTTAGCATAATCCAATTTGAGGATTCTGAAACCATTTCCCAGTCGTTTCTGAAACCATTTCTATAAATATCAGCCCATTTTATACTGCGAGAGAATAAAATCATAGAATCGTAGGATTATACTGCACAGGAGGCCATTCGGCCCATCTTTGAAGAGAGCTATCCAAATCAATCCCACTCCCCCACTCTCTCCCCATAGCCCTACAAACTTGTCCTCCCCAAATAATTATCTACTTCTCTTTTAAAAGTTGTTATCGAATCGGCTTCCACCACCCTTTCAGGCAATGCATTCCAAATCCAAACAACTCGCTGCGTGAAAAAAATACTCCTCACCTCCCCTCTGTTTCTTTTAACATCTATTTTAAAATCGGTGTCCTCGGGTTACCGACCCACCCGCCAGTGGAAATAGGTTCTCCTTGTTCATCCTATCGAATTCCCTCATAATTTTGAAAACTTCTATTAAGTCTCCTCTTAACCTTGTCTGCTCCAAGGAGAATAATCCTCGCTTCTCTAGCCTCTCCTGATAACTGAAGTCCCTCGTTCCTGGTACCAACCTGGTAAATCTCCTTTGCACCCTCTCCAATGCCTTGACATCCTTCCTAAAGTGTGGTGCCCAGAACTGAACACAGTACTCTAGCTGAGGCTTAACCAGTGTTTTATAAAGGTTTATCATAACTTCCTGACTTTTGTGTCCTATGCCCCTATTTATAAAGCCTCGTATCCCATATGCTTTTTTAACAGCTTTATCTACTTGTGCTGCGACCTTCAAAGATTTACTTATATGAACCCCCAGGTCTCTCTATTCCTTCACCCTCTTTAAGATTATACCATCAGCCTCGTTCTTCCTCCCAAAATGCATCACTTTGCATTTCTCCACATTAAACTTCATGTGGATAGGTATCATACATATCAGTTTAGTTAAGTCGCACTAAGCCTGAAAGTAACATGCACACATTTCAACTTGGTACAAATTACTCTATTGTTACGTTTACAATTTTCCTGTAAAACTATTAGTGCAAATATTTCAATGAATGTTCCCGTTCTACTCAATATGGTTTGAAACATCTGTATATTCATTTTACTTTATATGTCCTTTAATATCACACATTTATTCGGCAAAACTAATTTGCTAAAAAGTGCAATACACCCAATTTTAAACATGAAACACTTGTTGGTAAAGATGTGCCATTAAGTACAGTACTAAGATGTGAAGAGTGATAATACAGTAAAATACTTAAATATTGACTCGAATAGAGAGCTAAAGTGCTCGAATATTAGCCTGGGGGTTGCTTAAATGACGGTATGTGCTATAATGCATGAAGCCAGAGGCTAAGAGCATTGCTGCATACCAAGGTCACTTCTGTAAAATGAGGGGTGACATGGTTTACCTGCTACAGCATGAAACATACTTTTTATAACATCTGTGAACCAAATTGCTTTTAATAATGAAAAATGTTTTCACCGTTATGGGCAGGTTATATCCTCTTATTTGGATTGCAAATAGCAGGCAACAGTCAAAAATACATTTGCACACGCGAGAGGTCTTGAGTCAATCTCGTTTAATGCTTTGGAATAAGGATGTAATAAATTTTATACACAGATTCGTATTTCATTTCAAAATTCCTATTTAGAAATGTTACATTCATCATTATTCCAGGGATATATATTCCAATTAAAATAAATTGCTGGGAATGATCATTTCTGTTCAGGTGTGCAATGTTAAAGATGCATCTCATGATCAACTAACAATTAAAATCCTGGTAATAAGCAGGTTATTTGTAAAGGTAATATAATTGCCTTTTAAGATCATGCCAGCAAAGTGCTGTAGATACGTGATTCCTCATAAGAAACTGCTAATTGCAATGTTGAATATTTGCATCTAAAATCATCCAAATATGACATTTGCTTAAGATATATCTCATTAATCTAAAGCATGGTTTAAATGCTTTGTTTGCAAATTATAATTATTTTCATTACACCAGTTACCGATAGTGATGCTTATTTGCAATGCATCCTTTTGAATTTGTTTAATTACATCTTGAAACATAGCGGAGAAGATTAATTAACCCACCTGGCTTCCTGGCATGAAGTCTTGGCTCGGATCTGTCATACTCATGTACATGTTTTCACCATCAAACTGCGAATGGAATAATAAACATTCAGAATGCATCCAAACTTACAGACTGATCATAAAATATTTTGCAATCAAAGATGAATTTTGTTGAAAAGGTTTATCATTGATTTTACATTGCTTGTCTTTGATGTGTTTGTTCCCATCCTTATTGACCCTGGATGTCAGTGATTTGAGGTAATTAGTGTGCTAGTAATTAGATCAGGCAGGCAAGAAATGAATGGTTTCCTTTCATCTGCAATCTGTCATGAAACAAAATGGCTCATCCTGTGCAGTGTGCACACACATATTGCTATTAGTCTTAATGAATTGCTAAATCAATCGCAGTGTTTCTGGCAGGATAACAGAATGATGAAGAGTACCTGGAGTGGACCCTGATATTGCTCCAGCTCTCAGTCACAATTTGGCTGGAGTAAACACATGTACATTCAACGGTGAAAAGTAGTACAATGTTTGAACATTTTCATGTTTTAGACAGCTTTCACACATAAAATTTCCATTTAAAAATCATGTAAGTCTCATCTGAAGCCTTTTAGCAGGAATTATAGTCTTTTATATGGCTCTAACGTCACTTTTATAACATTGAACTCGCTTTTATAACAATGTTTCTACCAACATTGATTCAACCAGTTTTTTCCCTCGATAATTTTCTCTTCTCTCTCCTCTTCCGAAAACCCCCCACCCCCTACCACTCCCCTCCCCCTTATTTTTGCTAATTTGACCTTATTCCTGGGTGAAGTTCTAAGAGTACCAGCCACCTGCTCAAGTGACCATCGTTCATGTGGGTGACTTGACCATGGGTGGCAAGACTATTCAACTGTGAGGGGAAATCACAGCCAAGCCTGATCCTGTTCCTACACAGAGCCCACACATGCAGACCTCCAGAAGGATCAATGATAGCACCCAGAGTCCCAAAATCCCACTTAGTCTTAGCTTGTAAGACAACTTAATCCCAAAAAATTAAATTGTGCAGAATTGTGGAAAATCCTTCAATTTGGAAGTTGGCTCTTTTTATGAAATGCCGAAAACCTGCTTCCAAATATAAGACTCAAAGTAAAAATGTTCCATAATTTTGCCCAATCTTAAATATTAAGACAAAATGGTTTTACAAGCTAAAGCTAAAGTGAAAATTTGTGCCTCAGGAGTGGGATCCCTGACTGGTTTCTTCACCTAACCTAGGAATGAGGCTAACTGTTGCAATTATGCCCCAAGTGAGATCAACTAATATAGTACAGAGCAGTCATCAAACCTGAATCCGAGGGCTTGTAGGGGCCCAAATGCTGATTGGATAAACTCATCGAGCCATTAATTGAGCAAAAACATAGTGTTGCGAAATGCAGTGCAATATACTGGCCAACCCTCAGATAACTCGTATCTCGGAAACAAAATAATCGAAACGTCATGTTAAAATGGGTCTGCAAAAAAAAAAGGCTACCAGTTCTGCTTCCGGGTTATCAGGTTGCTGCTGACTTCACTTACTGCGTGCTATGCACATTGCGTTATACACAATAAGTACTATTGAGGCATGTCCTTCACAAAGTGAGGTGACTGGCACTTCCTTTGCATGTGTATAGTATTCCAATGAAAGTACTGTATTATTGTCATTTTTATTTAAACTCAATGACAATTTTTGTTGACTTAGCACAATGAAAGCGGAAACAAAATCTATATGCCTTCATTGTGTAGAGCTTCTTTCTTGAAATAAACACCTAATTTGAATTGGAACGATTTAACAAATGCAGCAAAACCCCTTAGAGAAAATTAATGTGCAACAAAATCATGTAGGCCTCAGTTCACTAAGATGAAAGCTGCGAAGGTTTTAACTCATTGCTAGAAATGGAGTAATGGCAACAGTTATAAATTACATTAATTTTTTGGTGAACCCCACCGCACCCTATCATCAAAATAGGACAGGAAAGAAATAATGTTATAAAGACAACAACAGCTTGCATTTATAGAGCATGCTTCACATAGCATAGTGTCTCAGAGTGCTTAAAAGGTATACAGAAAACACTCTTTCCCTGGCATAGTTAAACCCTATTCATTGTCGGCAAATAAACAGTCACTTAATTTCACCAGAAAATTTTGTGAGGCGCTCTGGGACATCCTCTTGATGTGAAAGGGACTATAGTAAATGCAAGGATTAGGTTTACATCTACACTGAGTGGGGATTGCAACCTTCAGACGTCATTAACACACGACTAAAATAGAAAACATCTTTGCGACCATGTTGACAGTAGTGTGTGTACGTTGAGTTTTAGGTGTTAAATTAGGACACCTTTGTGTGAGTCAGATATCTAGTGCATAAATAATTATCCATGAATAAAAATGTTAAATCAAGCTTAATTTACTGCTGTGAAGGGAAGAGAGGGAGAAAGAGAGGAGAAATTTGTCACTATTATTGTATTCAATTCATCTGAACCTTGAGTTCATTATTGTCACCACTACTACCACTAGATGTGAGGGGTGGGTAAGGTAAAAATGCAAATATTTTGGTAATCGCAAAAAAATGTTTTTAGAAATAGCACAAACTCGATGTGAGCTTCAACCATGTAAAAAGTGTTATTTGAATTTAATATTGTTGCCTCTTAAACTCAATACAATTTGTTAAACTAAAATATGAATGGGATGAAAACTGGAATGGTTTCTTACCATGTTCACATGTGATACCACATTGGATCTAATAAGAGACATTACAATTTTTACTCCAATGTCACCCAATCTTTGTTACACAAGATTAGCAGGTGTCAATTTCCTTGTACACATTAGACAATACCTTGTGAGAGTAGGAACAGCTGAGGCAGTATAAATGCAGTCAAATTCATTTGCAAGTCGAAGAGAATTAAAGATTACAAGATAATATATATTTGTAGGTTGTGGAGTGGTATTGTGTAATACTGCTCTTTTGCTTTACAGACATTTTAAGATCAGGGTAGAGTTACAAAAATTAGGGACTATGAAACACCTGTGCTAATTTAACAACATTGTACATGAGGATTGGATAGAACAAATATTTAACTCCAGAAAAATAATAATTTCTGAATGTAAGTTGTAAAGAGTAAAATAATGAACTGCTCCCCTAAGCCTACTAATAATATGCAAATTTGAGCAAAATACCAAGAACAAGTACTGTATTAAGAAACAAATGTTTTAAGATTTCTTTCCGATGCATCTGAAGGGAACAAATGAAAGCAAATGCGCCATAACAGTCTAACCTACCTAAAGGAAATGCTTAATGTTCTTTCAGCGCGTAATCTATGGGAACAGCAAGATGTACACAATCAATACACTCCGTCAACTTTAAACATTAACCACTGAACAGACTCCTTAAGCCAGCAAAAGCCAAGTACATGATGGAGACGCTGGAATTATTGTTGAAACTACATGTGCTTGACAGCTGTGGCTGTGCTTTGCAATGATAAAATAAACACTGAGCAACATCCTCAGGCTATCTCCAACTCCACACAGTCCACACTATCAGTAGCCCACAGCACTGCTGACAAATTATACTCTGTTTGTGGCTTTCTAAGTTTCCTTCATATAGAAATAACTAAAAAAAAAATTTGTATTTACAGTCAAACTTCGCAAAGTTCTGTCCCTCTCTGAAGAGTACCAAATACAAGAGATAAAGTTTGTCTTAATAGCTAGGAACTCGCTGAATACTCAACATGTCTGTGAAGTCGGCAAGCTAATCCCATAAATCCATTATGAATTGTCTAAACAGCATTTCAATTTGCTATAATTAATCTTTTAATTAATCATTGTGTGATCGTAGGATTATTTTGTACCTCAAAAAAAGTGTTTTGCTGGAGAAAATCTCTATCCAACTCAACACTGTATACTTCCTAACAGCTAAGATCTACATCATAGTTTACCTTTCTCTGAGCATTTTCTTAACATATGTTGGACAATCTTTTCTTATATTTGATTAAACAAATTTCACCGACATTCTAAACTGGATTTATATACTTTGCAAAAAAGATCAAGTTTCAAATAACCATTGACGAAATCCATTTTTTATAAATTTACACTTATATAGCACCTTTCATGTCAGGAGGACATCCCAAGGTGCTTAATAGTCCTGGCTAAAGGGAATAAGGGGGGGAGGGGAAAAATGACCAAATGTACAGTCAAAGATGTAGGTCTTGAGATGGATTTTATAATACCATCAAATTGTGCTGTCATGGCTGCTGTTGAATGCAGTTATCCGAAGTGTGGGAAGGTTATATTGAGATCACAGCAAATACCAAAGCATTTTCTTTGACTTTATGGCATTACAACCAAATCACAAAGCCACTATGCCCAAAGACAAGTTCTCAGTCATTGGGATTTTTAATTTTTTAAGGAATAAAATAATATTCATTAATATTTGTGTACATTTCTAACACATTCAACTTTGCTCTGAAACAGCTGTCCCTTGAATAAGGAATTAACAATAGTTATCATACTTGCATTTGGTACAGTGCCTATAACAACAAAATGTCTCAAAGTGTTTCACAGGTGATTGCCAGCAAAGAATAGTCAGTGTTGAGTGCCCAGCAAATTCCTTCAATAGAACAGTTTAGCGCTATTAAAGAATCGGTATATATTCTGTGATTATGTATTTGTCCCATTTTCAGATTTATCGTAAGTTTAGGTTCTGTTAGGTTCCCTTGCTCTACATGTCATTCGCAGATGAAAAGCATTCTACACTAAGGCCTATGCCGAATGTACCCTTGGGGCAGGTATTGGAAGGTGCGTGTGGGTGACTTGAATCAACTCATGTTTGACTTTCCCTTCCTTCCTGTACACAAACTTCCTGGATGCTCAGGGCCTGCCCAAGGTCAAGAACACATGAAGAGTTTTAAATACACAGTAAGTGATCCACACACCAAAGACATATACTCTTCACTCACAAATCCCTAAATTGATGCCGTATTAACTTCTTTTCCTATTTTATGTGAATTCACTAAATACAGTAGTTGCTTTGTATGGAATAAATTCCAGGAGGGAAAATTGCAGCCTGT